AAGGCCAATATCAAGGTGTAGTTAAGGTTGAACTAAAAAAAACAATATGAGTTAACATTTTTTTCTTCTACACTACTACAAAAGTAAATTTATACAACGCATAATACTAATCATCACAAATAAAGTACAACAGATAACACAATTTCTATAGTCAAATCAAAAAGCAAACTCACCGTGCTTTCTTCCGGGATTTAAACAAGAAATTCGCCGGCGGCGACGGTGAAAATTCAAAAGGCAAATGTGGTGGCTCAGACTCACCGGAAAGCATCCCCACTATCTCTTTCATAGTGGGTCGTTTGGCCGGCAACCGCTGTAAACAGAGCAATGCAATGGTTATGCAGAGCAATGCTTGATCTCTGTCCAATGAATGAATTGAGGGATCAACAAGATCCAATAGCCTCCCGTTGTGAGCAAGTTGCCTAGCCCAAGAGATCAAATTAGCCCTCTCGAATTCCGACATGGGCGAGGCTGTCACTTGCAGGGGACGGCGTCCGGAGATTACAACCAGAACAAGGACACCGAAGCTATAGACATCACATTTCTCCGAGAGCAACCCACCGCCGCCATACTCCGGTGCAATGTAACAAACAGTGCCTCTCATACTAGGGGTGCTACTGACGCCGCCGCTCTTGGGTATATCCCAGTCTTGGCTATTTCTTCGCCCAACTCGAAATTCACCGCTAAATCCATCCAACCACCAATCGATGCTGCCCATGCTACTCTTCTTCTTCTTCTTCTTCATTCTTTTTTGTTCAATTTCATCATTCTGCCACCAGTATTCGCCATTACTGCTGGAGAAAACCTCTCTTTTCTTCTTCTTCTTTTTCTTCTTTTGGAGTTCCTCGCAGAATTCTTCTTTCCACCACTCTCTGGGTTTTCTGTTCTTTTCTCTCTTTCTAATCTTCTCCTTCTTCTGCTCTGTTTTCGAGCTCGATTCGTCGTTATCTACGGAGGTTGGCGATGTGGTCCACTGGTTTTTGGGTCTCTCCTTTTTAATCTCACTTCCAATCCACTCCATTACGTAATCCTTCACCCTCCCTGACTCCGACCCACCGCCGGTGTCCTGTTTCCACCACCAATCTCTTCTCGAACCACCCTTTTTCCCACTTTCAACACTTAATTTGTCGAAAAAACCCTCTGATACTACACTTGTTTTCTCAATCCCCACCTCTGGTGACGCCGCCGCCGTCTCTGGAATAAGCTCTGAGTCCAAAACTCTAAGCACACAACTTTCCGGCGACCTATCAACAACAGTTAAACTCCCAGCTTCCTCGTACCCTGTCACAACACTCTCTGTCTCCTCCAAGATGGATCCATTATCTTCTCCGATTTCCTTCTTGACACTTTCATCCTCCTCAAGGCCCTCCACCAGATCCTCTGTTTTCAATCTCGCAAGCCCAAAATCTCCAATCTTGGCCTTGAAATCTCCGTCCAAGAGAATGTTGCTGGGTTTGATATCGCCATGAATCACGGGCGGATCGCAGACGTGGTGAAGATACTCAAGCCCCTTGGCCACATCACTTATAATGCAAAATCTCTTTCTCCATTCCATAAGCTCCGCACGTTTTCTATCCAACAGGGCATCCTGCACGCTGCGATTCTCCATCAGCTCGTAAACCAAAACAAATCTCCTCCTCCGGCGATCGGAAGAGAAACCGACGAGCGGCACAATGTGGGGTGAATTCAAATTTAGTGAGAGAGAACGCTCGTTGTGGAACTCTCTTTCGCCTTGCAACGAATCTACAGAGTTCATAACTTTAATCGCCAGAGGATGCGGAATGGAAGACACAGTACCTTTGTAGACAGACCCAAATCCCCCGTGTCCGAGGCGGTTGGAAGGGGAAAACGAACCGGTCGCGCGGCGGAGGAGCGAGTACGACAACCGGCGGCACTGCTGGTGGCCCGGAGATTCCGACGGAGCCGTACGGTTCCGGTAAATCTTACGGTAGATAAAAACGGTCAAGACAACCAAAAGGAACAAGGCAACGGTTAAAATAGCGGCGAGTAGTGGAGGAAGAAGGAAGTGGAAGTGGTGACGGTGATTGTCCGACGGCGCCGCCACCGGTAACGGAGGCGGTGCAGGACGAGATGGCATGACGGTAAATATACGAAAAAAAAAAAAAACCCGGAGATCTCAAGAATCCATAAACAGAGTTTGCTTTGCTTTGCTTTGCTTTGCTTCAGCCTGTTTTCTAATATCAGTGACTGTCACTTTATCCTCTGTTTCGAGTAATTTCAGTTCACGTGCTTAGAATTAAAGGGAAGGTTAGATGACCTAAGGGACAGGTGTCATGAAATGATTGGTCCTTGGTGGTTTCAAAGTAACAGTTGAGTAAGATGGATTTAGCTGTCAATTTATTTATAATTGATGAGATCTAATTGCGGTTGCAGAGCGTGAGGTGCACCTGCTTTTCTGTGGCGCGTGAGTTCTCTGAAGCATTGATGGCGGGTTCCGCCTCTCTAAGCAGTGGTTATCTGTACCGTTCGTCTTTGTTTTTGTTTTGTTTTGTTTGTTTGCTTTGAGAAATTCAACTCCTTTAATTAATATGTTTTGGGTTTCCCTAATAAGTACTTAGTGTTTAAATACTTTAATAGTAAATTTTTTAGGGAATAGTGAAATTCAAGAACTCCTATGAAAAGGTGAAAATGTTTTGTAATAATTATATAATAAATTTGATAAAATTAGATTTTATATTATATTTTATATATTTAATAATAATTATTAAATATTTTAATTTTTTTCTCAATTTTTTATTAAAAAATTTTTAATTTGAATTATGTGAGTAAGAGTTATTTTTATTATATAATTTATTTTAAAAAGATAATACATGACCAAAACA